TATTTTTGTAGTCCGATGTTGTCAAGATTGCCCCTAATTTTTTTCTTTCAGTTACTGATATATTAGGGAGGTTTTATGTTATTTTCATTTATTCTGCAAACTACTGACTTTAACTTAAAGTGATATGACAATAGGTTACTGCCCTGACATAGCATGATGAATAGAACACGGGTCTATTAATTTAGTATACGCTACGAATTCTATAAAAGGGCACCAATGAATAAAAGAAGCTTGGCTTTTCAATAGCTTGCACCTGCAATTTTTGAATAGTTACGTAACAAACTACTCAGCTCTTTCAGATATGGCATCAATTAATGAATTGAAGAAAACAAATCCGACCCTTCCTTCATTGAGCGAATACTTTTGGCAAATACGTGGATTACCAAAGAGGTAATAATAGCATTCCTGACATTGCAACAATGACAGCATTATTTTAAAGTATTGTCTCTAAAGGTAGCATACTGAATAAGCTATTTATCCTTGTCTGGGAGGACAAGGCCTTTCAATATCCCCATGCATAAGAAAAGAATAGGCTGGGGCTGTAGTCTGATTTCAAGAAAGGAAAACAATTTCGGGACAGTTCAAAATAATGCTTGGAAATGGAAATTCAAATGATACCGTTTTAAAAACCATCAATTATATATGATTTTAGGACAAGAATCAGAAGATTCGTAAATATTCATAATTGAATGACACACGCCCTTAAAACTAAAACAACAACAACAACAACATGATTTTTCCGTAGAGATCAGTGGGTTGTATTTAATACTATAGGAGCAGCAGCAGCTACAGTACCGTACCCTGCCCGGTATCCGCCCGATAGGCAGTTTTTCTTAGATAACTTTTCTGAAAATGAATTATACAGGCGCTAATGTATATCAATTTGTAGCCGAAATTCTAGCGAATCCAACCATGCATGCCATTCTTATGCCTGAAATCGTAAGCAATTGTCCGTAGTGCGCCGTCTGCGTGAGGCATTTTCCTTGCCTATTTCCGCCTAGACCTGCCCTAATTCGTCCCGATGGTGGACGCGCATCAAAAGTATAGAAAAGGGAGACATCTCGGGTAAACGTTAGGCCAAATAAAATTGCTTCCCAGTAGAATTTGATCTACATGATATTTTGATAATTGATATTTCTTTCTTTATTTCTTCTTTTGCCTCTGTAGGCCTACTAATAATGTCTGTTCACTGTTATTCACCACTTTCTGATCTGGGAAAATTCTGTAACTGCCTTTCCGGGAAAATCCTGTGACTTGTCTTTAATGTTTTAATAATGGTAATCAGACAAATCTGACTAAAGTCACTTAACATATCGCTAATCATTTTTAAATTAACCACTAGGGTGAAAGAATTTAATTTAAAAAAAACTATAACCACTATCAAAGTGAACATATTGTAAAAGAAAGTAATGGTGCTTCATTTTTATTTATTTTTAAATGCAAACTATTCTCGACATCTCTCAAATCTTGATTCAAAAATAAATTAGCGTATATTTTTAGGCATAATAATTGGTTGGAAAAAGCATCTAGCAATATTGTCATTAGAATTATCATCATCGCCGACATCGTCTAAATCATCATCATTACAATTTTAGGGTATATAGGTCTATAACGCAAATGTGGTTTCCTTTTTGATTATTTGTTTAAGACTTCAAGTTGTTGTGTTTTTTGTTTTCCACTTGTTCTAAATTATGCAGTATTATATTTTGATAATGCATTCAATAATAATTATAGCCAACTTGAAAGACAAAACTTTCCGAAATGATCTTAAAAACGAAGTTGTCGATTCACTTCCATAGAAAGTCAGTGTTTTTTTTTTGCAAAATAATGTAGTATAATAATTAATGCAAAAGGAGTGGTGGTAGGGGGGGGGGGGTCATCAGTCACGTTTTTGCCACTTCAACATCCAAAGAGGGTTGAAAGCTATTGTATAAGTATTTTGTTGACATTACCGAGAACAACTCAAATCATGTCCTGCAATGTATTGCCCTTCTCTAAATTTGGCACTATACCCCCTCCCCCACATCTTCTACATAATTCATCTATTTATTTATTCATTCAATATTCATTCATTTTATTGCCGAGAGATATTAATGTGATGGATAGAGATAAAAAAAATGTTCACCTTTTATTCGCCATAAAACTTTAGCAAACTAACAACGTATATAAGAATTACCCTAGCCATTTGAAAGGCTGACAGGCGTATAGGCCCTTGTGAAATGTATCATTTATAGTTTTATACTACTCTTTCGATAGCCATTCATATAGGTTTATTTCACATAAAACAACATTTATTTTATTCACAGTCAGCTGACGGAAATTTGATAGCAGCGAAAATGTCATGGTCCGTGTTGGCAAAAATATATAACACACAAACATTTGAAAAAAGATATTATAGCCTAATGTATAGAAGCACTAAGAAAAAGGATGTAAAAGTGAAGAGGGAGACTAAAAGAAAAATCGGGGAAAGGAGGGGTGTAATCGAAGAAAATTGAGGGAATAAATTAAACTAAATTAATTAAAACAAAAACTAATACATCAATCCTCTGCCTGCATCCTGTATCGTATCAGAAACAAGCACTCTTTTCGCTACAAAGCCACGACGCTGGATTGAAAGGCGACACAAGCTTCAGCGACATAGAACATATATACAAACTTTTTGCAAATCTACCAAACCTGGCAACTTTTTTAAAAGCCGGACTTAGTTGTCATCGGGATCACTTTTGGAGAACCGAACTTCAAGCATTTTTTGCAACATTAATCAATCATATATAATTTTGTCACAAAATTTAACTGCATGATTATCACATTACCACATCGTTACCAGAAATTGTCGGTTGCTCGATCGAACGAACGGCCAAACATCATTGCAACATTCTTCGGGGGGGGGGTTCAATCTCAGCCTCCCACCTTATTCGCCTACCATTACCCCCCGGAAAACTACCCCCAAAGATAATTACCCCTAAGGACAATTACCGTGCCTCGACGAGCTACCCCCGGAAAAGAGTCCCCCCCCCCCCCCACCCCCTGAAACTTAACCCCTATATAGGACAATGCCCCCCTGGGACAACCAAGGACAATCGCCCCGAGGACTACCCCCTGTTCAGTATGAACAGGGGGAAGTCAACCTCGATAATTAGTTGGGTAATTTTTAGGGGGAGATCATTAATTTCAGGGGGTGGTAATTGTCCTCTGGGGGTTTAATTGTCCACGGGGGGGGGGGTAATAATTGTCCTAGAGGGTAATTTTTCGGGGGGAGTAACTTCCTCGGGGTGGTTGTCCTCGGGGGGGGGGGGTAATCGTCCTTGGGGTAATTATTGTACCGCTAATTGGCCGGGGGTGACATGCCCAAGGGGTAATTGACCTAGAACCTTCAAAGGGCAATAAATAAACAGCTACTCAATTTACACTGAATCTTATTTTCTGGTTGTAAACTCAACAAAAAATGAATAGCCACCTCTAAATGATTATTTTGTAGACCATGCAAGTGAGCCTGCAAAATGTTAAGTTTAGTAGCACGGTTATGATTGCTCATCAAAAAGTGAAACAACATTCCGTCTGGCAGATTTTGACAACTGCATGGCTGTAATCCCAGTAAAGAGTTTTATGCCTGGTGACCATGTTATCTCATTTATGATCTTTCTTTTATTTGCAAAATGTAGGTCAACATATACGGGGGGGGGGGGGGGTGAATTCCCAATTTACAAACTGTTTATAGGTCGAATGTAGTTTTATAGTATTTGTGTATTCTTCACCTTCTTCATACTCTCGAGTTGCGATTTTATGGAGTAAACCGAGTGTTTTATCATGGAAAAAAAGACAATGAAGTGTGCACTTTCAAAAAACCAACCGCAGACCTAAAAACACACAAATAGACTAAAAAACCACGGGCAGATAACCTTTTCTCTGTTAGAGCATAAACAACGCACGGTACATACACTGAACTAGCGCGTGTGTTTGAGTGGGCGGAAATAGGGCAGGGGCATCACAGGGCGACATGGCCGAGTTCAACTTTTTTATAAATAATAATTTTCGCAAGAAATTTGCTCAGGTAAAACATCAGGAATTTAAACTTCCATATCTCTTTAAACAAAAGTAAAATTTCCACATTTTTTTTCTGATCGTTTTGAATAGGAACTTGATGTTTTTTAAAAAGGTTGATTCACACCTAAATAAGCGCATAGCTGACTGCTGCACAGTGACGTCATTCGCGTATCTCCGTTAAATGGGCGATCGACAGTGTACCATATTTCGTGCACATGTTCCTTACAACGTGTATGCTGCTATAGGCAAGTTAGTCGCACGCCTTCATTGCGCACCGTAGAAACTCGGGCGATGGAAGACGGCCGTTGTGTCTAATAAGCCACTAGGGCGCTTTAGTAACGAGACGGTACGCACAGGAGACGGTAACGCGAGCGAAAAAAACGAACTGCGCATGCGCGAATCTGAAATCTCTCCGTCCCGTCGATTTTCGGAACGGTACTCGGCCATCATAGCGTTCGTTCCCTAAACACGACGTAAGAGAGAGGAGCTGACAAATAATTTTGATCTAGATCTAACAATGCAGGGCACTACCATGACTACTGAAGATAAAAACAGGGAATCTACAAGTGATTCCAATGTCTGTTCAATAAGTAGCTTATTCTATACCCCCAATCTACAATAAATTGATGGTTTGGCCGTTTAGGCCTACTTTGGGGGACCTTTTTCATCGTTATGCATGACGTGCCTGCACGCTGTGCACTACAGCCCACCGCCGGGTCAATTGCCCCGGCGCTCCGGCCAAGCCTCAAGGCCCTAATGCACTAGCACCAAAAGGCAGCAGGCGTGCAGTTCAGCGCGGAAATTGGATACGGCTTTGCGTCCCCGTCGCCTTTAGCAGACAGCGAAAGCGCTTAAATATCACGACGGTAACAAGAGTGCGAGACCCGTCACAGTCGGTTAAACACTCCGTCTCCTATCCTGTGCGTACCGTCTCGTTACTAAAGCGCCCTACAGGGGGGCGGTAACTGGGCAGGGTACGGTAGTTAATTTTAACGAGTTGCTACTCCCCCCGCATTTAAACTCTCTACCAAATAACAGTCTGCAGCTGCATAAAACGGCAATCATTTTTAGTCTGTTATCCGATTATTAATTACTGAAAATACAGTTCTACATACAATCAATCTTGCCCAGTATTTGAACCGAATATAGGAGCAACAGAGTGTTGTTCTAAAATTCACTACTTTCCGTGCTAGATAACTGATAAAATGTCTAAAGTCAGATTACTTGATAAGCTTGTGCAAGAAAGAGCCGGTGTAGACGGAGCATCATCACGGAATGCCCCTGGTGTAGCGGACCAGGTTCTGTCAGGAAGTGCCTCATCGAACGATGAAGATACAACACCTGACGAAAAACACATCTTCGAAGTTTTACCTGATTTACCTGCAGGACCTCTTGATGTGTACCGGAAAAATGCTACTTTTGATTGGAAAGCAATGAAGGTGGCATTTGAAGGCGAGGAGTGCATTCGTTATCATGTGAGTAAATCAAATTGTAGTAAATCATACATGAGGTTTTGAGTAGCTAAAAATATTTATTCAAATTCTTCATAATGTTCTTGAAAACTCTAAAATTTAAGCCAAGCACGGATGTATGTACAGTACATGTAGTTGAAGAGTCCCTGAATCAGGTAATCTAGCAAATGTAATTTAATTAAATCCCACTTACATTTAATAGTGCAGTACTCAGTGAATGAATATATAAGTTTGTACCCATGACCATGAGTAGTTTTCCCTATTTTAATAACCATGGTTGATCCATTAAATGATAAGTGGATAGTCAAATACAGGTCGTAAGGACTACATGTGCTAAAGTCCATAATGGTTTTGACTTATGAGTACATATTTCTAAACCAAAGTTTTAATTTCATCTTGCTTCTAGTATAAGATATGGAAAACACTTGAGAAGGATCCACTTTTCCAACATAGCCAACGACCGCTGACGATGGAAGAGTCGAGAGCCCTTGTGTTCCGTCAGGTCCAGCAGCTGGTCCGCTATAACTTCCTGTCTATGGAAGGCATCCTAGCAAACCCAGACACCATCAGTTGGTTCAACAGTGCCGTGTGCCTTTATGATGCTGCACTCTCTACCAAGTTTAACCTGAACAAGAATGTGAGTGTCTTCAACTACTCTTGAACTTCTTATTTTTCTTTTTCTGTCAAAGTACAACATGCCTCCCCGTTTTTGATGTAAGCTCTAATCATTGTGTGGTTTAAAAAAAGAGGAGATGCATCTGTATCTGTATGGTTTGATCAGCAAATGTCCTCTCCAGACACATCCACGCTTAGCTTTAAATGTCTCCAGGGATGGGCTATTGACAGTTGAAGAAGGAAGGTTGTTCCAGTTCATAACAGTATTTACAAAGGTGGAGTCCTGGAATACCCTGGCCCTATGCCTGATCTGGAGAAACTTCTGGTCATAAAGTCCTCTAAATAGCTCTTGGGTTACGCTAAATAAATTCATCCAAATGGATATTAACTCAGCCATTCTTCATCTTAAATAACATGGAAAGTCTTTGATTCATCCTTCGTGTCTGAAGGAATTCCCAGCCAAGATGGTTCAGGGCCTCGGTAACAGTGTCCTCTTCCTTTCCTCCCTCTTCTACACCTCAGTTTCTTGGCAAGAAAATGTAATGCATCTTAACCACTCACAAAATTTGTAAGCCTTTCAAGTGTGCAAAACTGTGACAGCAAATTTTTTAATGATTTGTCTTTCAGCTGTTTGGGCAGACATTGAGAGCCAGCGGGTCCATGAAGTATGAAGATATTGTGACGAAGAGCGATGCATTAGAGGTGAGTTTCATATGTCTTGGGGTAAGAATATAGTAATACTACATGTACTAATGATAATAATAGTATCAAATGATGATATTATTATTAATTATGAGATTATATACATCTGTATAAGTGTGCTTCCAATGGACTCAATGTGTTATTTCAATGTAAAGTCAGGGTGAGTGTTAGTTTTCATATTTTCCTGTTATTGTAATCCATTTAGATCATAGGTTGCTTTGCTTTGACTGAGTTGGCGCACGGGTCCAACACACGAGCCATGAGAACAACAGCAAAATACGATCCTAGTACACGGGTAAGCCAACCTTTCATACCATGTACATGCACTTTAAAATTAACTGCAGAATCAGATATAAAGAATTATTTCCTTTTATTATATTTTGTACAGCTAATTAAGATCTTTGATGAAAAGAAAGTAGAGCCAGTGACTGGTTGCACAGGAGATGCCATGTACATTGTAAATGTTATGTAGTAACTAGATGATCTGTCAAAAGCAGGGAAGTGCCAACACCCTCCCCCCCCCCCCCCTTCTCTCCTCCTAGTACCGGTAGTTTTGCTATCCAATGGTTCCCAAAATAGATTTTGTTATATAATGAAGATTTATTAAATTCAATATGATTTCATTAAACCTCATTCAAATCTATTCCAGACTCAAAACCCATATTGTACTAAAGATTTAAACCAAAAGCTAACATTTAACCTTGGTCTAAAGTTGAGTTTAACAAAGGTTGGATTTATGAGATTTCTCTCTCTTTATCATGACTCTAGTTCTCATATTTGGATATAGACTGAATTAATAGAATATACATGTAGGTTAAAATATGGATAACTTTAGTGGGTGTTAATTGTGTAATACAAGCAAAGTTTGATTATATGTTTACTTGTATCTGCAAACAAAAGACACTTGTACAGGTACATGTAACTAATGAGTGGTCAAAGGCTATGATTAAATGACAAAAGATAAAAATAACTGATTAAATGATAACGAATTAACGATAGATTTGTTTGGGTAAAATCAGCTCGTTCAAAGCAAGCTTCTTTATCAGGAGAACTATTGAACAAATTTGAGGTAGATATGAGATTCTGCCAGGAGTGTTTCTGTTTCACCTAGGTTCATGTATGAATTTGTATTTTTGTGATTCAATAACTCTGAAATTGGCCTGTGCATCAATTTCATGTGAATTTCCCAATCATTTGTGGTGCTTTCTTTATGGTTTATCTTGATACAAAAAACTGTTCCACAGCAAACTTCACAATTCTTTAGATCGTCTATTCCATGCCATGACATACAAAACGTGCCTTCTTTACCATGATGAGAATATAATAATGTTCTGCATTATCTGAATAGGCAGCGCACGTTTCATTACATTTAGATCTATATAGTCTATCAAATAACAATATACATGTAGGTAACATAGAAGTGAACCTGAGCTCTGTTTCAAAACTTGACATCAATGACAAGTTACAATAACTATTTTAAGCTACAGGTACTGAAATCATTACATTTGATTGGCTGTCATTAAAGTTGTTGTTTAAGTTTTTTTTACTTGTTTATTGATAACAAGTTTTATGAAACAGGACTCTGATTTATTTAGTCTGCTCAAATGAATATTTCTCATGATGCAGGAAGGTTTGACGTTCATGGTATTTGCATGTTATATCTCTGTCATAGGAGTTTGTGGTGAACACACCGGACATAGAAGCTGCCAAGGTCTGGGTCGGTAACCTAGGCAAGTCTGCTACCCATGCTATCGTATACGCCCAGCTCTACACCCATGACGGCACCTGTCACGGTCTCAACTCCTTCATAGTGCCCATCAGGGATCCCAAAACACTTCTACCCCTCCCTGGGGTGTTTGTAGGGGACCTTGGAGAGAAATTGGGCCTCCATGGGTTGGATAATGGGTAAGTACCATGCAATCGTCTATGCACAGCTGTAAACCTATGATGGCCATGGTCATGGCCTCAACTCCTTCATGGAATGCTCCCCAGGGAGTGGAGATTGTGCGGGCTAGTATAGAATCCAATGACTGAGGTAATAGTATAAAGCGCTTTAGGGACATCGTAGATGTATGTATTAAGCGCTATAAAAGCGGAATAATAATAATAGTACCCATCAGGGATCCTGAGACACTTCTACCCTTCCCTGGGGTGCTTGAGGGGGGGGGGGGGCTTGGAGAGAAACAAGGCCTTCATAGACTTGATAACAGTTGAGTAGATGTTACTGAGAGGAGTCAATTGAAGAAGAACAAAAAACACCTAAAACCCAGAAGGCTCCTTGTAAGATTTGGTTCACATGTGATATCTATTATACCTAAAATGGGCAATCAAGATAAAGGAAGGTTTTGTGGAAATAAAATGGCATTCATTTTCTATACTTTTATGGCTAATGCATTTAATTAATTTGTCCTACATATTCATTGTCACTCTGTATTGCAAAAGAAAATGAAATGAAAATAAAAGCAAAACAAAGCAGACAAAGGAATGAAACACTTATGTGTTTCTGTTGACATTAAGCAGATGAATCTTTATATCATAATGTAGATGCCTTTTAAAAATCTTTCTCACTCTCTCTCTCTCTCTCTCTCTCTCTCTCTCCCTCTGTCTGTCTCTGTCTCTCTCTCTCTCTCTCTCTCTCTCTCTAGGTTCGTATCATTCCACAATTTCCGCATTCCAAGAGAAAACCTGATCAACAGGACCGGAGATGTGACAGAGAGTGGCCAATTTGTCACCCCATTTAAGGTACAGTGAAGAAATAATATACAGTATCTTACAAACTATCATGTATAAAATCTTACCACAATTCATGATAGGTCATTGACTAGTACTTGCTTTATAAAACATGAAAGCCACAAAGAATTCAACTATTCAAAAAGTATTCTCTTTATATAATAGTAACATAATTCAAGAGGAATTCTTCTATATTTTGAGTTTTATAGTTAAAGCAATATTTCTTTGTTTATCTTTATTTATAAACATCTGTATTTTATTATCTTACAAAAAGGGTGCCGGTACACCTCTTTTAATTTCTAACAGTTCAACAAATTTTTATTTGCGTATTATAAAGATACTTTTTGTAAGATCAGGGTTCATTCTTAGCACTCATTTTCATTTTTCATCATGATGCAACTGCCCTTAAGTGATATGTAAAGTCTTATTTCATTAGGCTCTTTCATTTTGAAGGAAAATAGCAGCAACAAAAAGAATGTCAATAATCTAACATTTTATTCTAATATTTTACCTTGAGATAGATGAAATCCTGTATATTTAGAAATGAAAAATTAATTGTTCGGTAAGCTGTCACTTGCCATGCTGCATGCTTATTCTGGAGAAGCAGGAACGGCAAATAAAAGCTTACTGAAACTGGTAATTTCTCCACTGATTGTAAGAAAGAACTCATTTTCCAGTTAAATCATTAAACAGATGAACCTCTTCAGTAATATTACAAATATGTTAATGAGATTTCCTCCTTTTTTCTGTGTTTTCTAGGATCCAAACAAAAGGTTTGGTGCTTCTGTGGGAGCCCTGTCATCAGGACGAGTTGGTATCACAAACATTGGGGTTGGAAATCTGAAGCTTGCCGTGACCATCGCTGTGCGCTACTCTGCCGTCAGGAGACAGTTTGGACCCACAGCGGATGAAGAGTTGCCAGTGCTAGAGTATCAAATGCAGGTGAGTGCAATTTATGGCGTGTTCAGAGGAGAGGAAACTTAACAACATTTGTATAAAGAAAGGTTCAGGGCCCCGTTTCATAAAACATGTTATAAACAACAAGTTACAATAACTGTTATAAGCTACTGAAATTATGGCATTTGATTGGCTGAGAGCAAATTTGTCATAGAATTTAAGCATTTGTTATTGATAAGAAGTTTTATGAAACAGGGCCCAGAAAGTCATCTTTTTATAGTGTAAGATGTGGACACACTAAATGATAATATCATAGAAAGAACATTAAATGAAGGAGCTAGTTGTGAAGAGGACAGCTGACATGACAGCTTGTCAATCATCAGGTTACGCTCATGATTTGCCCCACCCAGTTATGCAATGTTCTGATGGTGTGGTGCCCAGACGAGAGCAGGATCCTGATTAGGTATTTTATTCGAAATGATGCTCAAAACGATGCTGAAATATGAATTTTCATATACAAAGTTTTGTTATATGGCATTCAGACTAGACAAAAAGCCAAGTTGATAATACAAAGTCACCAGTCAGATCCTTTATCCCATTACCAAATTATTAACATACCCAGTCTTTAATTGATCTAATGATCTAGTAATTTCTGTATGTAACCAGATAGTATATATAAGGTTAATTTCTGTCGTAATTTTAAGGTTGAGGATGGAGTTGTGAAACTCTGAAGCATGTCCCATTCATTGAAATGTAATTTCTCATTTGTTTTTATTATGAGACTTTTCACGTGCTTCCTTTTAAAAACATGAGATGTACTGTAATTAGATTTGCCTATTTAAATCAAAACTGCTTCCCCTAAAAACCAGCATACATAATATGTCATATTAAAAACGATCTGTTATCCTTTCAGCTTCTTTTAAAAATAATTCATATACCCTGTTTAATATTGTCTTCCATGTATCAGACAAGTTTTCTTTAAAATTAGATTTACCTCCTTGTATGAATAGATATTTATTTTCTTTTTCTCTTATACATGTAGCAATGGCGACTATTGCCGTATGTGGCCGGTGCCTTTGTCCTGCATTACTTCTCAGACAAACTCTTCAAGCACTTGGTGGAATGTCAGGTGTCCCTCATGCTTGGTGACAAGAGTGAGAGACAGGTATGATCATCAACAAGTTCACTTTTACTTAAAGGATTGGAGAGCATAAAGAGAGGGGTTTTTTTTATATTGAGGACCACATTGACTTGGATGATGTACATGTAATAGTGGTGGTTATTTGACATGACTGCTAAGAAAGCATAAAATGCTTATTAGTATGCAACCAGAGGACCAGCGGCTTTCGGTCCACTCCGAGGGACCTGGTTATGATGATTTAATGCCTTACCAAAGGGCACTAGCGCATCGACATGGTTTCAAATCCGGGTCACCGGATTACGAAACCACTGCTCTACCAACTGAGCTATCGCACCTCCTTTGCATATAACTTGGAGATAACTTTTGTGCACTTACCAGTACATTGATTTTTCTATTCTCAGGTCACATTAACCGGTATTTAGAGTGCAATTTTGGTATTTAAATTTGCGATATATCTTCATTGAGGAAAAGGATGTGTACGCTTGTAAAATAACTTCTTGCAAGAATACTCCCCAGGAAGCAGAACGTGTGCCTATCGTAAGTGGATTAGCAGTTGAATCCAAACGACTGGAGCAATAATAATTACAATGTATTAAAAGCACATAGAAACGTATTACTAAGCATTGTGCAAGTGAGACTATTATTGTTATTGTGTTGATCTGATTTCAGGCAGAGCTTGGGAAGGAGATGCATGCCTTGTCTAGCGCCAGCAAGCCCCTGAGTAGCTGGTTAGCTAGGGACTGCATACAGGAATGCAGGGAGGCCTGTGGGGGTCACGGGTACCTGTGGGGTAAGTTGAATGCAATTGCATTGGTGTTTGCAGAGATTCTTGCTATATCAATACTTGGCTCTTTATATGCGACACACATATGATCTCTGTGTGTCGCATTGTATTCATCAAGGGATAAACACCAGAGGCAACTCATTAAAATCCACTAGTGTAATGATTATGACTTTTATGCATCTTTTGGAATAACAATATTTTGATATCTTTTATGTTAGCAATGTATTGTATCAATACAGTCAATTGAATTTACTTGTGTGCCTTATTGCTTTATCATCTGATAGGAAATGAATTTGGTAGTGGCAATGATCTGGATTTGTGAGTCATCTCCGATAAAGAGGAATTATGATGTTGGCAAAATGTTGTCTTTGATGATGATATACACTATTTACAAAGCTATCTGAACAGCTAAATTTGTTTAAATGTGAATATGTTTTACTCATTTTTGTTATGGTATTAGTAATTAGATATCATACTGGATGGGGCATCTCTTCAATAGGTTTTTCTTTCATGCTGCTATATTCATTATAAAGTTGTTGAGATGGCACCTGTCTCTGTCCTTTTGCAGTGAACAGGTTTGGTGTGTTACGAGATGACCATGACCCGAATTGTACATATGAGGGAGACAACAACGTCCTGCTCCAACAGACCAGTAACTACTTGTTAGCTTTGTTTGCCGCTAAAAAAAGAGGTTAGTAACCAGTCACATATTTTACAATAAAATTCTAGGCTTATATAGTGCTACATCGCCATTATCGCTAAGGGATTTTAGATATGTTACTACCCCTTTCATCTGATTCAGGTTTGCTTGTACACAATGAATACACATTCCTCACTTTTGGAGAGCATTCCAGCCAGGTGCCATTTTGCTCATATTCCTGAGCAAACTACAATGACTTTTGCATCCTATTCAACACCTGGGTGGAGGGAAGCAATGTAGATAAAATGCTTTCCTTACAGACATAAGTGCCATGATGAGGATTTAACCCATGTCATTTCAATTTCCAGTCATGTGTTGAATCCTAGACTATGACACCTCTTCAAAGTATATTCAAACACTTTTAAGACCCATGTGTAATATTGGTAAACCACAATTTTATCACTTTGCCAGGTTTGAAAGTTTAGAAATAGCAAGGATATTGTGCAATGGTTGCAGGATTTATTGGTTGCATTCCTTTCGGCTCAAGGCAGAAGCCAACAAAAAGGAGAGAGAAAGAGAGAGAGGGAGAGAAATAAGAAAAAAGAAGATGAAAAATGCATAAAGAATGTGAGGTGTAGCCACATTAATTCAGGAATTATTAATATAAAACAAAATAAAAGAGTAAGGTAATATTAACAAGTCTTGAAAGTTTTAGGTTTTGCAGATCCAAATTTCATCAAACATGCTTATCTATTTTTGCTCTGACTGCAGGTGAGACCATCTCCTCTCCCATTGGGACGTTTGATTTTCTGGACTCCATGTTTGAGATCATCAAGCAGAAGTTCACAGTCCGCAAGCTGGAGGATGTCATTAAACCCCAAGGTGAGGTCCCCACCCAATGGTGTCACTTCATGTTTAAATTGTGTATCATGATTCACCAAAAAGGGGCGATTTTTAGGGATGTTTGCCAAGATTCCTATGTCAGGGGATTTTATAAAAATATATTTTTTGTTATTTCACGCAAAAAGGTCACATATTTCAAAGAGTAACATGCAATTCAAATAGCACGGGGAAGATTGGGTGAGAATAGGGTACTTTTTCAATTAATTTTGGACTTGGTAATGGCCAAAAATAGGGTTACATTAAGTCCATTTTGTACCTTTTTTTGTGCAAAAAGGAGGATATATTCTTGAAATGTTCTTGAAAGTCAGCACATAGGTTGTCATTTTCGACTCGGCTTACGATCTTGCGTTACCCTTTTCAATATGCAGTGACACCAGTAGAGATTATCGATATTAGTGATTCTTTTATTAAAATGTGTAAAAGGCAAGTCCAAGGTGTTTGGTCATTACCGGTAGGTGTCCCATAGTTTACAAAGAATTTTGGAATACATCAAATCTGCCATGTTGCTTCATATATTTTGTCTGATCTAAGCTCCAGTAGAGCTATAAACATAATACTACAATCAGATACAATGTATAATAAAATCTTGAATTTGAATTGTAATGTATGGACTCGCCCATAACTATTGATGCAGTATGTGCTTATTTAATAGTTCATCCAAAAGTTCACCAACAAATTAGAGTAATCTTATAGTTTTGTCCTATGTGAGATCATTGGGAGAGAAAACAAGAGTCATCCTGTTTGGAATGTGGAGCCTCTCTCTCTCTCTCTTTCTCTCTCTCTCTCTCACTCTCTCTCTCTCTCTCTCTCTCTCTCTCTCTTCGCATTCATATTCTGGTTCACCAGTTCTTTTCAGGACTCCACACACAAAATTATACTTCTCTCTCCCAATTGTCTCCACTTCTTTCTGAACTTTCTCAAGAAGTCCTCCACAAGATGAAACCAAAAGAATTCTTCAAACCTCAATCTTTCTTTACTTTCTATCCCCTTCAAACCCAACAGTCCTTTTGCAGGACAACCCACATGGTGAAATCACAAACCTAATGAATGTTATACACACCACCATGCAAACACTTAACCGTCAAGGTTCATCATGCTTCCTTTCTATCTTCTGATCAGTGATCTTGGGTGCTTACCGTTGGCTGGTTGTCTACCTCCTGCAGGAGAGCTCCCATAAGCTCCAGCAGGAGCTGATGAATGGAAAGGATGCCTTCAGTGCTCGTAACGACTCCCAGGTCTACTTCTGCAGGACCTTGGCAATTGCTTTTATGGAGGTAAGGATAACCGAGAAACAAACTTGTACATATAGTGAAAATACATTTAGGAGGTGAGTTGGCTCAGTCAGTGTAGTGTGTGCCCGTCGTACTAAAGATTGTGTGTTCGAATCCAACTCAGGCGGATTGTTAACGCCCGTTTGTTACCATGCCCCTCCCCTGTTTCATAGACAAAGGCTAGGTTATAGTGGAAAACAATCTATCCCTCAGATAGCTAGAAATTAAATGGAGGCCCCGTTTAGAGGAAAGTCACCACCTGTGCACAGTAAGAACCCACTGCACTGTTCATATAAGTGTAGGGGGAAACCCCAATGTTGTGGTCCATCTGCACAACCCCAGTAAGTTATAATGGGAGGAGAGACCTAAGGGTTACAGTGATTCAGTTAACTTTTCACCTCCCAGGGTCAGGTGATGCCAAAAAATTAATGGTAATTAATAATAAAGTGCTAGGTTGTGTGAGCAGTAGTATGTTTTGCCCATTTGTTAAGTCAATTCTTCACAAGGCTTCCCAAAAAAATTATGCCACATAGTTATGATTACATTAGTATTGTATCTCCCTCATAGCATACACTGCTGGAACAGTTCTGGAATTATCTACAGACTGGTGACTTCATCCCTGAACAGACTGCTGTCCTCACTAAACTCTGTAGTCTGTATGGTCTCTGGAGTCTAGAGAAACATATGGCCACTCTCTATCAAGGTGAGTCGGATTGAAATGATGTGGATTATAGTAAAACTATATTTCATCAATTCTAGATTGATTTCTGCTAGAGCAAGTCACATCTCCCTAGTATGCTTTTATGGTAACAAGTCGTTAAGCTCTGTAAAAATGAGTACATTTGTTTAATTTTTTTGTTGATATCCTCCATGTCAGACCCTAATCATTTAACAAAGTCCAGTCCTTACTAATTATGTAGTCTGTATAGTTTCTTAAGTTTAGAGACCAATTAAAGTGGGACTGCGCTACTTGTAGCTACTTGCGACCTCTATACAGCCAACACTGCCTAAGCGGTACCCGTTGAACCCCCATGTTCCCCTTTTTCTTATGTTAATTGAGAGCTGATTTGATGAGATAACCACCTGCCAGTGACCACACAGAGAGGTCTAATCACTCCTGGCTAATCTAGTGTAGATAGGCCATCAATATTCCACTTTCTGATTTTTTTTTTAGTATTTTTTTTTTTTATTGAAAAAAAACTCAACAACATCGCATACAATAATAACATGTCAATAAAGTAAATGGATGTATACAGAACAACACAGGACAATACAACACAAAACAGTAAAACACAAATGCCTCACTCTAGTCAGTTACATTTGTACATGTAAAGCTCACCCTGACATGCATCAAGGTTATATATCATGTAAGAAACAGAGACTGGACTCGTCAAGGAGAGGCTCCACTGAAATACAGTAATATTAACAATATAATAACATAATTGACAATCAGGAAGTATACAATTTATTAAATACTAGGAGATCAAAATTCTACAAGAAAGAAAGTGACCATTTCCTAAAGTGGGAGCTCAGTTTACCTTTCTTCTCTGCTATTTCATATTCAATTTTCTGTTTCATTTTTACAAAGGAAAGGAAAATATTCCAATTTCTGATTGGCTTAATACCCTTCATCCAATTAATAATCCCCTCTCCTTCTCTCCCCAATCCATCAGGTGGATATTTCTCTGGGGCGGAGACCGCTAGGTTGATCCGGGATGCCATCCTCCATCTCTGCAGGGATGTTAAGAATGATGCGGTCTCTCTGGTTGATGTTCTGGCTCCTCCTGACTTCATCCTCAACTCACCCATAGGCTGTGCTGATGGTCAGGTAAAGATGGCTCCCCATAGCATTACACAGTTTATATATATATATTTATATTCCACATACAAAGAATCTTGCGCTACAATTGGTCAAAAGTAAATTAATGATGGACGAAGAAAAGTTTGTTGCGTACTATCTACATTGTGCAACACACTTTCTTGTATACGTTGCGTATACCGGTACATATGCATGTAAGTACTGCATGCACTGTACGTATCGTACACCGTTTGCCAGCTGTTTATTGATCATTTGTTGCTCTAAAATGACAGATGAAGTGAAATGTTTCCGATGTGGAATATAAAGCAAAATAATCACCTTTTTGGTTTCAGGCGATGGCAAACTATCACTGCCTCGGCGATCTGAACGTAAACGCTATCATTCCGAAGCGAAACATCCAGATTGCCTTTGAAGTGATAGTTTGTCCCATCACCTTCACCAATGGTGATTATTTGCTTAATATATATAGATATATATATGAGGCAGTGACATGATCCAGCCTGTTCAGGAAGAAAGCATTTGGTATCATTCATACATGTAGGGCAATGAGGTCTTTTGTAAGAAACATTCAGAGGAATTGAGGTCAAGACTTAGACCAAATACGGGGCGTATGGCCTATATTGAAGAAACTGTCAAAGCTTTCACCTAACTTCCACCCTTCTCTCATCCAGATATCAATGAAAGCGTTGCACGACTCACTTCTGTTTAATTCTTTGTGTTATCATTTACTTGGAATTGAATTGATGCAATTGATTTGCATAACATGGAAAATGTTTGTATAATGATGCCCACATTGTTTCTTTACCTGGAAAGAACTACTCACTGTTCAGTATATTAGTATGATTTTCCACTTTGTTATTGCACTCTGCAAATGTTTTATATACGAGGGGGAAAAAAAAAATCACTTTAGAAATTGAAATGTGTGGTGTAGTAATGAAGAAATCCCATACCGGGAATCACTTAACCCATTTCCTACAGGAACTGGGTGATTCCTCAATCAAGCGTATGGGAATCAGAGAATTCAGTAGTCAATGGGATAATTTACTTTGATTGAAATCAAGCTGTGTACTGAATTGCCTCTTTACTTTTTGTTTTGGTTCTTTTTTTTTCTTCAGGTTTACAAGCGTCTGTACAACGCCATTCTGCAGACTCCCAAGTGCCTTGAGAGGCCTGACTGGTGGAAGGAATTCCTGGACACACCGATCGTTGGTTCCGCCCCTCCTGCTAAGCTCTGAGCATCCTGAAGGTGATGGTCTCAAGGACTTGTGGAAACCAAGATGAAAATTTAGAGGAAGATTGTGATGGTAGATTGGCTGGTGCCTGCCTTTAACACAATTAGACATAACAATAGTTCATAATCCATTGCTTACATGAATCCGGTGGTTCCTGCATTAAGCCTAAGAAAATGTGTGCATTCAGTAGCCAATGGGTTAAAATGATTTACATGTATAATGTTTTCTGCAAAATGATCATTTATATAACTTTTGTTGTAAGTGCAACTCAAAATACAGTATGTAACTGATTTATTGAATTGTGCTCCATGAGTGCTTGCCAATACTTGGAATCATTGCTGCTGTTTAGAATGCTTATGAGTGTGGATATGATAATGCATTTTATTTCCTGTTTGCCTAATGTTGTTAAGATTGTGAAAATTAACCTCAAAATTATAGGCTTCAACAATCATGATAATTAGAATGCTGAAGATTTTTTTCAATAAGCAGGCTAATTCTTAAGTTTCATGCAACTCAAAGAAAACAAGTCATTTTCTTTATTCATACTGAAAACCCCCTGTGCAAAACAAGGTCTTAGCTGTCATGATTGATAACAAAGACTCAAAACACATGTTTTTCAACCCATTACCTACCGGAAACGGGTAGCTCCTGCATTATTAAGTCTATAAGAATGATCTAATTCAGTAGTCGATGAGTTAAAATGCATTGTTTAAAAATATTTCCTGTATAAAAGCGTATACAATTCGAGAACTGAAATAGAGAGAAATAGTAGTGTTAGGTGAGGGAGAGGAGAGGAGTAGGATGGATGAGACATACATGGTACGGTATGTTTTTGTGATGTGGATGATAAGAATAATAATTATCATAACAACTATACTAAATTAATCACTTTAATGATACAGAGGATGATGGTGATTATGATGATGATGATGAAAATAAGAAGAAAGAGGAGGAGGAGAAGAAGAAGAGGAAGAAGAATAAAGAAGGAGGAGGAGAAGAGTAGAAAGAAGAAGAGGAGGAAGAAGAAAAAGAAGAAGTAGAAGAAAATCTGATAAAATCTGATTTGAAATTTGTTACGTTTAACAGATAAGCCTTGCTAGCAGCTGTCTATTAATCTTTGTACTAGAATTTTTGTGATTGTTTGCTGGTATTTTGTTATCTTTCTTTGTTAAACTGAAGCATCAGTATTGCTTTTTAGATCTGCACATAAGATTGAAAGGCGATATTAAAGTAATTACCTGGTAGCTTATATTTTAATATGGTGAGTAATCATGGTCCAGCCGTAAAACCTTGTGGGTATCTGTCTTGTTTTCATTATATGTTTAAGATTGCCTGGTTGAGGTTGCATGTATCCCTATATGTTCAATGTATGTAACACTTTTACTAACATTTCCAGATGATTGACATATGTAAGATGCGCAAATGTACCTGACACATTGATATAATTTTATGAACATATGATATCAATGATTTTTATATTATCTGAACAAAATTTCTGTGGACATTGTGATTTATAAAAGGGGTCCAAGAATATAGGCAGTCTAATTGGTCAAATGATACCATGTGATGATGCATCTTTCTTTCCATCACACCTACCATGCAACAAAGTTCCCATCAAAAAGTGACAACCCACAGATAAAAATTAAGATGCTAAGAAATGCACGGTTTAAAATGGCAAGGACATTGATGCACAGACTGAAATGCGTTCTACCTTGTTTGGCTGTGCTTATGTACTGTGATTTCATTCAAAGCAAATGGCAGCTCCCTTGACTGCGATTCTTGGCATTTTTATCATTTTACTTATATTGCCGACCCATTTTATGAAATGAATAATTAAAGTCACAATTAACTGGATAATGAATAGATCTGCATGCAATGCATATTCACTAATCCACTCACAAACCTGAATTATTTGTACAACATATATAAAGGTAATGAAATTGCCTCAGAGTCTATTTCCTGAAAGAGTTTGTAAATAATGCATGCCCATTTTTTTTTAATGTTGGAACTTGCTTTTCGTAAATGTAATGAAACATATTTTGTGTTTGATATATTAACAATTTGTGCAATAATTGCCCCCTGTATTAGTTGTAAGGAATATGATGCAGTGATTAATTCCAAAGTTTAATTTGTATACATGTGTACTAGATATCACACTATCAACAGTAAGTTGTTTGTTGCAAAGCTTTGCCTATTTCTGACATACTAAATAAACCTTTATCATGAACAAATGTGTAATGACAGCTAATAAAAGATTCCTGTTGCAGAAGGCCAAATAAATGTGTTCAAATTTATTGTAAATTGAACAAGCAGTACTCTCCATGTACAATTATGCTCTCAAGATTGTATGTCGTTGCTCAGTGCTAAGTTCAGCTTGCCTCTTTGCAAGTGCTAATGTTAGCTTTGACTATGGTTTTGCAAGAGTTATCTAATTAGCCTGTTATATCTCTTACTTCTCTCTTAATTTACAAGAGACAAACAAAAGACTGATGTTGATAATATTAAAATGCTTTCCACAATGAAGCTTGAAATGGTTGTCTAAGTATTATTTATTTAATCATTTTTTTTTTTTTTTGGGGGGGGGCTTGTGCATTGAGGATCCGTATCATTGTTGGGAGAAATAAGATACAGGGAAATCTAGAGAACCCGAGGCCTTATTTTGAAAATGATGTTATCGTAGTGGTATGTTAGGGCCGTAAAATGATAACTTTCATTAAAAAAAATCAAAATGCATGGCACTACCACTTACTTATGGTGATTCATTGCACAGATGTCTCATTTAACTTCATGAACGCTAAAGCAGCCAATTTTGCACGAACATTAATCAATGACTTCTCTTTATTTTGATTTTGCTATGTCAATTCAATTAACATTGTTTTCAGAATACCACCCCAGAGGGGAAGACGGGAGAGAAGAGAGAGAGAGAGGGGGAAACAGGGGGGGGGGGTTAGCTTATGGAGGAAGAGAGAGAGAGAGATCGAGACAGAGAAAATTGGGGAGAGTGAGAAACAATGGGATGGGGGAACTACATGAGGGAGAGGCAATGCCCATTAATATAACAGGATTAAACTTAAGGGCGCACATATACAGTGTGTCCCGAAAAAAACTATACACTTTTGAAATGGCTGCCGAATAAAAAATATATGATTCTAGGGGAAAAGTTGTATATGTATGGAAAGCCCATAAACTCAACTTTTATATGACACCAACAAGTTTGAAAATAATTCATGCTTGGGTGAGCACTGCTCACTTTTGTAAAGGGTATGAAAATTAGGTTGCGCAGGAATTAGCCTTCCAATGTGTGAGAGGTCAATCCTTTGGAGCTTACAACATTGAGGGGGATATGATAAATTCATGATTTGCTGAGTGAATTCCATGGTTTATTAAACCAAACTTTTATGCACGAAACAGGAATTTCATTTTTCTATTGTAGCATTGTAACTTTCCCTGGTAGACTCAGTGGTGTGTTCATGAGAGTCAGGATTGGGTGATGGTACATGTTGTAATTTCCATGTTACAAAGTGTTATTTTTTACATTTGTGACTTTGAATAAAAACCTTCACCCCACATTTCAGTTACCATTTACCTGAAGAATAAGTAGCCGACATCTTGGACATTCCTTTTTTCAACAAACCGTATTTGAATATTCGATTTACATTATCCCTACCTGGGTATTTAATAAATCAATGAGATGTTCAACTAATCTTACAATAATTGAAATGTGGGGTGAAGGTTTTTATTCAAAGTCACAGATGTAAGAGAATAACAGTTTGTAACATGGAAATTACAACATGTACCATCACCCCATCCTGACTCCCATGAACACACCACTGAGTCTAACAGGGAAGTTACAGTGCTACAATAAAAAATGCAATTCCTGTTCACTCATGCATAAAATGTTAATCCCATAAACCAAACATTTCACTCAAACCCAAACTCATCACAATTGATCATAAATTGGTCATATCATCCTCAATTCCGTAAGCTCCAAAGGATTTACCTCTCACACATTGGAATGCTAATTCCTGCGCAACCTAATTTTCATACCCTTTACAAAAGTGAGCAGTGCTCACCCGAGCATGAATTATTTTCGCAACTTTTGGTGTCATATGAAAGTTGAGTATATGAGCTTTCCATACATATATAACTTTTTCCCCTAGAATCATATATTTGTTATTCGGCAGCCATTTCAAAAGTGTATAGTTTTTTTCGGGACACACTGTATAGGAAGATGACTGAGAAAAACTTTTACCAAAAAATAAGACCAGCAGACTCTAAAAAGAATTTCAAAGGAGCAGATCATGGAGGAAGAATCAATCAATGGTAACCCATAGGAAAGTGAAAAGTATGCCGCAGACCTGCCGCAGACTTTTAGTCTGCGGCAAAGAGTATGCCGAAGTATGCGGCAGAAAGAAATTTTGCTGCAGACTTGCCGCATACCAGTATGCCACAGGAACAGTCTGCGGCAGATCTGCGGCGCAGGATGAAATTTTGCTGCAGACTTGCCGCATACTAGTATGCCACAGGAATAGTCTGCGGCAGATCTGCGGCAGGATGAAACTTTGCTCCAGACTTGCCGCATACTAGTATGCCACAGGAACAGTCTGCGGCAGATCTGCGGCAGGATGAAATTTTGCTGCAGACTTACCGCATACTAGTATGCCACAGGAACAGTCTGCGGCAGATCTGCGGCAGGATGAAACTTTGCTCCAGACTTGCCGCATACTAGTATGCCACAGGAACAGTCTGCGGCAGATCTGCGGCAGGGCGAAACTTTGCTCCAGACTTGCCGCATACCAGTACGCCACAGGAACAGTCTGCGGCAGGTCTGCCACAGGAAATCCCATTAAAGTCTAATAGGGCCAATTGAAACCAATCATCTCATGCATATTCATTATTACTTTACACGTGTGACAGAAAAATACATTTATCATGATTTGTTAAGCAAATTAAGACAATGCACATCATTTTTGTGATTTCTATTTTCCTTTTGCCATTATTAACCAATAGATTATTTTGTCTGATCATGTTACAATTACATTCACGTTTAAGCAATAGATATATTGATTACTAACCAAGAAACTATGATTACTAACCAAGAAACAATATACATATTTAGTATATATATGTGTACGAGCCTGTGTCACTTTAATTGTTACTCTTGAATTCACTTCAAATGATCAATGTGATGAAGTTAATACAATTGAGAATAGAATTGGTAATATATATATATATTGGTATTACCTAATTGGTAATATCGATATTGCCAATATCGATTAGATATTGCCAATATCGATTTTGAAGTATCAATCAGTTTATCACTGGTTCTTCTACATATCATGCATACTTTATTGCCACGTACTGGATATGAAAGAATATGCGGCAGGTCTGCAGCAGGTCTATATGAGATATGAATATTCATGACGAAGAGTCTGCGGCAGGTCTGCAGCAGTCTTCATCATA